CGTGTATGTGTGTGTGTGCGTGCGTGTGTGTATGTGTGTGTGGGCGTGTGCATGTGTGCGTGTGTGTGCGTGTGTGTGTGTGCGTGCGTGTGTGTGTGTGCGTGTGTGTGTGTGCGCGTGTGTGCGTGCGTGTGTGTGCGTGTGTGCGTGTGTGCGAGAGTGTGCGTAGCTGGTACACGTAGCCTGGCACGCATACTGCGCTGGGTGAGTCTCGGGGAGTTTATGGGCCTCTGTGTGATGAGTCTATGGGTCTCTGTGTGAGTCTGTGGGTCTCTGTGTGGTGAGTCTATGGGTCTCTGTGTGGTGAGTCTATGGGTCTCTGTGTGGTGAGTCTGGGTCTCTGTGTGAGTCTATGGGTCTCTGTGTGTGAGTCTATGGGTCTCTGTGTGGTGAGTCTGGGTCTCTGTGTGAGTCTATGGGTCTCTGTGTGCTGAGTCTGTGGGTCTCTGTGTGAGTCTATGGGTCTCTGTGTGGTGAGTCTGTGGGTCTCTGTGTGAGTCTATGTGTCTCTATGTGATGAGTCTATGTGTCTCTGTCACTCCCATGCCCCCCTCACCTCCTCCTGCCCGTCTTTGTCTCCCCTGCGTGTGTCCGCAGTCTGAGCATGGGCCAGCTGTACGAGGATCACAAGGATGAGGACGGGTTCCTGTACGTGGCCTACAGCGGCGAGAGCACCTTCGGCTGACTGCGGAGACACGGAGACACGGGGACGCGGGGACACGGAGACGCGGAGACACGGGGACGCGGGGACACGGAGACGCGGGGACACGGGGAAACGGAGACGCAGAGACGCGGGGACACGGAGACGCGGGGACATGGAGACACGGGGAGAGACACGGAGACGCGGGGAGAGACATGGAGACACGTTGACACGGGGAATGACACGGAGACGCGGGGAGAGACACGGAGACGCGGAGACACGGAGAGAGACACGGAGACACGGGGAGACACGGGGGAGAGACACGGGCTCGCAGAGACATGGGACGGCACGTTGTCTATGGGGTTGGAGGGACACGGAAGGATGGGGATGACACTTTGTTTGGTGATTGTTTTTGCTTTTCGTGAATAAACTCTCCTAACAACAGACGAACTCACGCCCTGAAAGTTGTCATGTTGACTACCTCACCTGGTCTACAGGAGGTCGTGGGTTCGATCCCGTGACCCTGACGATGCCTGCTACTGCTGTATGTTTTGAAGTCTGCGTCTCTCTCTCTCTCATCATCATCACGGTGGCTATGAGATGTTGACTATCTCGCCTGGTCCCTGTGGGTCTATGAGAGTTTATGGGTCTCTGTGGGTCTGTGGGTCTATGAGAGTCTATGGGTCTCTGTGGGTCTATGAGAGTCTATGGGTCTCTGTGGGTCTATGGGTCTATGACAGTATATGGGTCTCTGTGGGTCTATGAGAGTATATGGGTCTCTGTGGGTCTGTGAGAGTCTATGGGTCTCTGTGGGTCTATGAGAGTTTGTGGGTCTCTGTGGGACTATGAGAGTCTATGGGTCTCTGTGGGTCTATGAGAGTCTATGGGTCTCTGTGGGTCTATGGGTCTATGAGAGTCTATGGGTCTCTGTGGGTCTGTGAGAGTCTATGGGTTTCTGTGGGTCTATGAGAGTCTATGGGTCTCTGTGTGTCTAGGTCTTCCGGAAGTCCAAACATCTTCCGGAAGACGTACTTTGCGTTTTTTTAATAACTGGTTACTCTTCCTGTATATGACGTCACCCCCCCCACCTCCACTTCCCCCCACCCCCTCCCCCACCCCCCCACCCTCATCCCCTTCACCACCGAGAATTCGTCTTCCGGAAGATCGAAACGTCTTCAGGAATACGAAAGCATAACTTCCGGAAGACGTTTGTTCTTCCGGAAGATGTGTTTGCGTTTTTTATTGTGTTCATCTTTACTATTTATGACGTCACCCCCACCCCGCCCAACACTGGCCCCCACCCCCATCCCCACCTCTACTAAGTTCTCGCGAGACTTGAGGTGAGAGCGAAACCTCGCGAGAGTCCCACGCCCCGCCCCCTCACACCCCACCCACCACCCCCACCTCCAATAAGATCTCGCGAGACTTGAGGTGAGAGCGAAACCTCGCGAGAGTCCCACGCCCCCCCACCCACCCTATCCCCCCCACGCCCCCCAACACCCCCCACCTCCCCCACCTCCAATAAGTTCTCGCGAGACTCGAGGCGATCGCGAAGTCTCGCGAGACTACCACGGTCCGCTTCCCGTTCGGCGCGCGACCATGGGTGAGTTCGTTCCCCACCCTCACGCCCGCGTCGCCTTCTCCCGCCAAAATTCATCGTTATTATCGATAATAATATCGATCTTACGACGACGATTGTTTTAACGCGCCGTATCGTCGAGAGAGACGGTCGTTTAAGAGAGAGAGAGGAGAGCAACGTTCGATTAAAAATGTTAAAATTATTTATTTTAACACGAAAAAAAAGAGCCGTTTGTTACGATTCTGAGGCGATTTTTTTCTTATTTTTTTCCACTCTCTGGAGATTTATCGATGCATTAAGTTAAGGATAAGCGACCTAAACTCTCCCAATCACACATTTTATATACACACCACACGACACGCACTTGTTTTGTTTACGCGAATTTAACACCTCTTACTAATTGCCTTCCTTTGGTGGCGCTGTGTTTAACGACACCTTTATATCATTACGCGATGTTATTATCGTAATATAATTATAATAAAGACCCCCCCCTCCCCTTTTAAATGTATCAGATTAGTTTGTAATGTGTATCAGTCGCCTTGGCTTTGTGTGTCACCACTTAAACATTTTGTCACGCTTATTTATTTTTGTTAAAATATTGCTTGATTAACCATCGTTAAATGCGTTACTTTTTAATTTGTTTTTGCCACTAAAAACAAACCCCTCTTGTCAATTGGCTGTGTCGGTGTTTAACGACGCAATTATATCTTTACGCGATATATAATAACGCGATAATATTGGTCACGAAACCCACTTATTACTTCGTGTTAAAACTCATTTATAATATCGGTCGCCGTTCTATGAATGTCACCAGTTATACCTTTATTACACTCATATATACGGCTTTTAAACAAACCATTTACTTGTTAACCATTTTATTAAATGCATTACTTTGTGTAAGCGTGTTTAAGTTATTGTTGTCGGCTGTTAAAATACTAAACACTGTCCATAGACTTAACACTGCACCATAGACTCAACACTGCACCATAGACTCAACACTGCACCATAGACTCAACACTGCACCATAGACTCAACACTGCACCATAGACTCAACACTGCACCATAGACTCAACACTGCACCATAGACTCAACACTGCACCATAGACTCAACACTGCCCATAGACTCAACACTGCACCATAGACTCAACACTGCACCATAGACTCAACACTGCACCATAGACTCAGCACTGCACCATAGACTCAACACTGCCCATAGACTCAACACTGCACCATAGACTCAACACTGCACCATAGACTCAACACTGCACCATAGACTCAGCACTGCACCATAGACTCAACACTGCCCATAGACTCAACACTGCACCATAGACTCAACACTGCACCATAGACTCAACACTGCACCATAGACTCAACACTGCACCATAGACTCAACACTGCCCATAGACTCAACACTGCACCATAGACTCAACACTGCACCATAGACTCAACACTGCACCATAGACTCAGCACTGCACCATAGACTCAACACTGCCCATAGACTCAACACTGCACCATAGACTCAACACTGCACCATAGACTCAACACTGCACCATAGACTCAGCACTGCACCATAGACTCAACACTGCCCATAGACTCAACACTGCACCATAGACTCAACACTGCACCATAGACTCAGCACTACACCATAGACTCAACACTGCCCATAGACTCAACACTGCACCATAGACTCAACACTGCACCATAGACTCAGCACTGCACCATAGACTCAACACTGCCCATAGACTCAACACTGCCCATAGACTCAACACTGCACCATAGACTCAACACTGCCCATAGACTCAACACTGCACCATAGACTCAACACTGCACCATAGACTCAACACTGCCCATAGACTCAACACTGCACCATAGACTCAACACTACCCATAGACTCAACACTGCACCATAGACTCAACACTGCACCATAGACTCAACACTGCACCATAGACTCAACACTGTCATAGACTCAACACTGTCATAGACTCAGCACTGCACCATAGACTCAACACTGCACCATAGACTCAACACTGCACCATAGACTCAACACTGCACCATAGACTCAACACTGCACCATAGACTCAACACTGCACCATAGACTCAACACTGCACCATAGACTCAACACTGCACCATAGACTCACACTGCACCATAGACTCAGCACTGCACCATAGACTCACACTGCACCATAGACTCAACACTGCACCACAGACTCAACACTGCACCACAGACTCAACACTGCCCATAGACTCAACACTGCACCATAGACTCACACTGCACCATAGACTCACACTGCACCATAGACTCAACACTGCACCATAGACTCAACACTGCACCATAGACTCACATTGCACCATAGACTCAACACTGCACCATAGACTCAACACTGCACCATAGACTCAACACTACCCATAGACTCAACACTGCCCATAGATTCAACACTGCCCATAGACTCAACACTGCACCATAGACTCAACACTGCACCATAGACTCAACGCTACCCATAGACTCAGCACTGCACCATAGACTCAGCACTGCACCATAGACTCAGCACTGCACCATAGACTCAGCACTGCACCATAGACTCAACACTGTACCATGGACTCAACACTGCCCCATAGACTCAGCACTGCACCATAGACTCAACACTGCACCATGGACTCAACACTGCACCATAGACTCACACTGCACCATAGACTCAACACTGCCCATAGACTCAACACTACCCATAGACTCAACACTGCCCATAGACTCAACACTGCCCAAATACACTCCACAATGCACATAGACCAACACTTTCCATCCACAATCAACACTTCGCATTGACTAAACACTGCTCTTAGACTCAACACTACCCATAGACTCAACACTGCACCATAGACTCAACACTGCCCATAGACTCAACACTGTCCATCGACTCAACACTCTTAAAGCCTCACCTGTTGGTCTCAATGAAAGTCTGGGCATCTCGTGCGAGTCTATGGGTCTGTCTAAGTCTATGGGTCTCTATGTGAGTACGTTAGTCTCTTTGTGCATCTGTGGGTCTCTCTGGAATTCGGCATCGCTCTGTTACTCGATAGGACGATGAGAATCATTGGTTCTCTCTGTTAGTCTACGGGCCTGCCTAGTAAGTCTCTGGGTGTCTACGTGAGTCTATGATAGGCATGTATGTACGCATGTGGGTCGCTTTGTAAGCCTGGGTCTCTATGTGAGTGGCCCTGTATTTGTGTCTGAGTCTATGAATGTCTGGATTATTTTGAGTCTATGGGGACTGTATGTGCATCTGTTGGTCTCTTGACAATCTGTTTCTCTATTAGTCTATAGGTTCATGAGAATCATTTGGTCTCAATATTAGTCTATGGGACTTTATGTGCATCTGTGGGTCTATAAAAGTCTGGGTATCTATGTGAGTCTATGGGACTTTATGTGCTTCTGTGGGTCTCTGAAAGTCTATGTCTCTGTGAGTTAATGGGACTGTGTGTCTGTGGGTTTCCATGAATGTCGGGTCTCTATGTCAGTCTAAGGCCCTGTATGTGTGTCTGTGAGTCTATGAAAGTCTGGGTCTCTATGTTAGTCAATGGAACTGTATGTACATCTGTGGGTCTCTGAAAGTGTGGGTCTCCATGTTAGTCAATGGGACTGCATTGTGTCTTGGTCTCTATGAAAGTCTGTGCATCTCTCTGTTAGTCTATGACACCGAATGGAGTTACGCTAATTTCATTTTTCAACCTACTATTTGCCATGGCTTCTGGCGTTTCGTACAGGAAGAGTGTGTGGTGCCTTGCTGTGGTTCTACGAGCCCTCACTGTGCGTGTGTGTGTGTTCCTGTGTGTGTGCGTGCACGTGTGTTCCTGCGTGCGTGCGTGTTCCTGTGTGTGTGCGTGTGTGTGTCTGTGCGCGTGTGTTCCTTTGTGCGTGTGTGTGTGTCGTTATCCTCGCCGATCCTGGCCGTGTCCGGCGTGACCCGTCCATGCCGCTTCCTGCCCGTGACTTTGGAGACCCAGCCGCGGTGAGGAAATCGCATCGCAGTCACTGGCCCCTCGCGCGACGCGTTACACTACGGTTGCCACTGCAAAAAAACACGAAGACAAATATCTACCCCCCCACCACCACCATTGTACCCTTAACAGACTGTTGGGGAAAGCGGACAGACACACTGACACGCACAAAATCCGCCAGTTGACAATGATAATTGGCGGTGACGTCACCACGGCGCTTGCGCCAGGCTACGTGCACGTTAAGGCCACGTGAAGTGTCAAATACCCGCTGGCGGGAGGTCGCGGGACAGACCCAGGTGGTACCGTGGGTTGACTGCTGTGCCAGGCTAGGTGCAGGAGGAGGAGGTCACGGGACAGACCCAGTGGGTGCCGTGGGTTGACTGCTGTGCCAGGCTAGGTGCAGGAGTAGACTGGGACAGACCCAGCAGGTGCCATGGGTTGACTGCTGTACCAGGCTAGGTGCAGGAGGAGGCCGCGGGATAGGCCCAGCAGATGCCATGGGTTGACTACTGTACCAGGCTAGGTGCAGGAGGAGGCCGCGGGATAGGCCCAGCAGATGCCATGGGTTGACTGCTGTGCCAGGCTAGGTGCAGGAGGAGGCCGCGGGACAGACCCAGCAGGTGGGGCTGGGTGGGGAGGGGCTGAAACTCAACGTTTCACCTACTCACGCCGGCTTGTGCCCGCCCTCACAGTCGGGCATATTTGCGGAATACACCACGCCGCCGTTGACCCTGCAGGCCATTGACCGAGCAACCCGACGTTCCTACCAGCTCCCTCCGCAGGAATGTGTTAGGGTAGGGCACTACTGATAAGGGGTTGACAGGTATGAAAGTATTGGAAAAGTCAACCAAGATGGGGCGGAAAAAAAAAAACGATTGTAAATTTTACCATTGGCTTCTATTTCGGGAAGCAACGAAACGATGGCTCGATGAAGTGGCCTATTGTCGTGTGGACATTGTGCAGGGGATCGTGGGTTCGATCCCGACCCCTGACGCCTGCTGCTGTATATTTAGAGTTTGCGTGTCTCTCTCATCATCGTGGTGGCTAGGAGATGTTAACTACCTCACCTGGTATGAGGAAGGTCGTTGGTTTTATTCTGATTTCTGATCCCGTGACCCTGGCGATGCCTGCTGCTGTATATTTAGAGTTTGCGTGTTTCTCTCGTCATCGTGGTGACTAGGAGATATTGACTACTTCGCCTGGTATGCAGGAGCTCGTGGGTTCGATCCCTGACCCCTGACGCCTGCTGCTGTATATTTAGAGTTTGCGTGTCTCTCTCGTCATCGTGGTGGTTAGGAGATGTTAACTACCTCGCCTGCTATACAGGAGCTCGTGGGTTCGATCCCCGACCCCTGACGCCTGCTGCTGTATATTTAGAGTTTGCGTGTCTCTCTCGTCATCGTGGTGGCTAGGAGATGTTGACTACCTCGCCTGGTATACAGGAGGTCGTGGGTTCGATCCCGTGACCCTGACGATGCCTGCTACTGTATATTCAAAGTTGACGTCTCTCTCTCTGTCATCATCACGGTGGCTAGGAGATGTTGACTACTTCGCCTGGCATGCAGGAGGTCGTGGGTTCGATCCCCGACCCCTGACGCCTGCTGCTGTATATTTGGAGTCTGCCTCTCTCTCTCTCTGTCATCATCATCATCACGTTGGCTAGGAGATGTTAACTCCGCGCCAGTAAGCTGCGGGGGGTTGCTGACAAGCGCGCCGCCGGGTTGATCGAAAGACTCGTCGGCCGTGGAGTTGCTCGCCCCGTGCACGCACAGCGGATGGGGTGGGGGATAAAGCGAATAAAAACGACGCTCGTTAAACTCGCATTTCGTACGGAATTCCCTCGCCATTCCCGAACGCCGCCATCCACAAATTGCATCTGGAACTCTGTACACGACCGCTGCATCGAGAGCGAGAACGTGATGAGAGATGAAGTGATGAGAGATAGCGATGAGAGATGGAGGATACAGAATGTGATGAGTTAAAGTGACGATGAGAGATGAATGTGATGAGAGAGAAAGCGATGAGAGAGATAATATGATGATGCATAGCATTATAATTTTTAAGGTAATTTTTTTAATTTATAAACGATTACTTAATACTGTTTATAGTAACAATTTTAATTTTGTTGCGTTATTATGACAATGTTATTGTAAATTTCGATTTAAAGCTTTCGTGACTGCAGGGATTCATCTTCTTGGTTCTTTCGGTAAAGTCACGTAGAAGGGAAGTAATAAAAAAATAAAACATAATAAAACAATTCTCACAATTGTTTTATTATGTTTTATTTTTATTATTTTATTACTTCCCTTCTACGTGACTTTACCGAAAGAAACCAAAAAAATGTTATTGTATCTAGCAGCTTGCTTATATATTTATTTAAGGCAGATCATTAAAAGTTTGCTGTTCGTGAGCATCTCTGGAAGGCATCCCACGCGATTAACACAGTAACGCTGTCCTCTGAAATCGGCCTGCAGTCAGGCAGCCTGATCATTCCGCGCACTGTATGACACTCGCAAAGACAAAGATGCCCCGTGTAGCCTTGACAGGCTTTTGGGGCAAGTGGCTGTCACTAGCGAGTAGCTGCAGCAGCGCCTATGAACGCCGGCACGGTGGTAAACGAGGTGGGTGGGTGACCAGCGCCACGCCACGCATGGCCGCCTTTGTCTCCCCAGTGGCGATGTTTACTACACACCACTGCACTGGGTACTCATTTTAGACTGAGTGGACCTCAGGGATGCCCACGGACCGGTTCAGATGATCGGTCATTCGTGTTGGTGGCCGTGAGCGGGAATCGAACTCGGGTCGTAGCCGGTATTCGTAGTGCAACGTGCTAATCGCTACGACACTACCGCTCCCACAAACCCGCTCGCACACACAAAGACAAATCCCCCGTGTCACACATTCACTCTGTCACACACTAACACACTCACTCGTTCTGTCACTCACTCGCTCTGTCACACACATTCACGCGCTCTCACACACAAACACACACTCGCTCTGCCGCACACTCACTCTGTCACATACACGCACACATTCACTCGCTGTTTCACACACATTCACGCGCTGTCACACACTAACACACACACATTCACGCACTGTCACACACTAACAAACACACACTCACTCGCTCTGTCACACACTCGCACACACTCACTCTCTCTGTCACACACATTCATGCACTGTCACACACTAACACACACACACTCACTCGCTCTGTCACACACTCGCACACACTCACTCTCTCTGTCGCACACATTCACGCACTAACACGCACACTCACTCGCTCTGTCACACACATTCACTCGCTCTCTCACACACTCGCTCTGCCACACACTAACACACACTCACTCACTCTGTCACACACTCGCACACACTCACTCTCTCTGTCACACACATTCACGCACTGTCACACACTAACACACACACACTCACTCGCTCTGTCACACACTCGCACACACTCACTCTCTCTGTCACACACATTCACGCACTAACACGCACACTCACTCGCTCTGTCACACACTCGCACACACTCACTCTCTCTGTCACACACATTCACGCACTGTCACACACTAACACACACACTCACTCGCTCTGTCACACACTCGCACACACTCACTCGCTCTGTCACACACATTCACGCACTAACACGCACACTCACTCGCTCTGTCACACACTCGCACACACTCACTCTCTCTGTCACACACATTCACGCACTGTCACACACTAACACACACACACACTCACTCGCTCTGTCACACACTCGCACACATTCACTCACTCTGCCACACACTAACACACACTCACTCACTCTGTCACACACTCGCTCGCTCTGCCACACACATACTCATTCGCCGTGTCACACATTCACTCTGTCACACACTAACACACTCACTCGCTCGCTCTGCCACACACTAACACGCACTCACTCACTCTGTCACACACTCGCACACATTCACTCGCTCTGTCACACACATTCACGCGCTGTCACAAACTCGCTTGCTCTGTCACACACATTCACTCGCTCTCTCACACACTCGCTCTGCAGAGCAGTGGTGGAGATGGCAGGGAAGGGGGTGGTACACAAGCTCCACACAGAAAGTGGTGCCCGAGGCGTAAATTGAAGCAAGGCCTCTGTCACCCGGGACCGCTGCGGTCACCGTGTGGGCCCAGTGGTTTCCAGACGCGAATTGACGTGACGTAAACTGACGTGACGTGAAGTTGGATTCCGCGTTCTGAATGGGCCGGAGTTTATGCTCGACCTGCCACCATCATCACCCCCCCCCCATCTCTCACTCCCATCACCGCCGCCGCCCCCACCCCACCTCTTATCTGAAGCCGTCACCATCTTCAACGGGCCCAGCGACGGGAGCCCAAGGCGTTGTTAACTCTTCGTCGCGCCGACAAACCATCGCTCGTTCATCCCCTAGTCGGGAGTCAGAATATTTCTTTATACTCGTACCTCTTCTTGGTTCTCTCGGTAAAGTCACGTAGAAGGGAAATAATAAAATAAAATAAATTAAAAACAATAAAATACAATTCTCACGACGTTTCGGCCACAACGCAAGCAGCCGTCCTCAGGTGAAGAACAGATCTGTCTTTACACTACGAACCTACTTTACCAGTGGCAAAATATAGTAATAGGTTTTTATCCTTTCAACTGGTACAAAAACTGATACCTTTATACAAGACATCATGTTTGCAATAACCACAACAAACAAGCAGTCAAAATGCAAACAAAAAGAAACAACTCTGATAATGATAAGCACTGACCTTGACGTTCATTGGTCCACACCCGAGACAGCTTTTCTTAGAACGTTTTTACACGCTTTTATTTAACTCACTCTGTCTGTTGTATCTTCAAATCTTGTAACTTCATTTTAACCCACTTCCCAATGTGGTATCGACTGCAAACTTGGTATACTTATGTCATACTGATGACAATACTATATTATATCATAAAAAAGAAAAACATATTTTTAAACATTTTTTACATGTTATGTTTCGGCTTGGGTCTAATTGTCCATGCTCAACTGACATTGGCTGTAAGTCACCACGGCCCCTCACGTTGTGGCAAGCTTCGGGGCCACTTCCTGGAGTCGTGGAGTTCTTCCATTACTAGTACGCTACATTTCATTAAAGCGTGTTTAAAAAAAGTTTTTTTTATATTACTTATTTGGGTTGGTACAGTAACGAATTGGCATGCTCTGTTTACAACTTGAGCACGATGCTTCGCCGCTAATTACATCCAGCATCATCCTGGCGAATCTGGCATATCGCCAGGATAATGCTGGATTATGTCATTACCATTGAAACGTCAAATTGTAAATGTTGTGGATTTACTCCCAACACATCGGTGGGCTGAAGTAGTAACTCATTTCGATTTTAAGCTTTCGTGACTGCAGGGATTCATCTTCTTGGTTCTTTCGGTAAAGTTACGTAGAAGGGAAATAATAAAATAATAAAAATAAAACATTAAATAATTCTCACGACGTTTCGGCCACAACGGCTGCTTGCGTTGTGGCCGAAACGTCGTGAGAATTGTATTTTATGTTTTATTTTTTTATTTTATTATTTTCCTTCTACGTGACTTTACCGAAAGAACCAAGAAGATAGTATCTCATTGGCGTTGTGATTACGTGACAAATCTCCTGCGGGTTACGACACATACTTACGCGATCTAACCCAAAAACTTTTATTGTGGATAATATTGGTCACGTAAGCCTGCGTGTTAAACCGATGTTCTGTGTTTACGTGGCAAAGCTTACTAATTGGCCGTGCCGGGCCGTGGCGGGTTTAACAACACATATATTTATACGTGATCTAACCCAAAAAACCTGTTTTGTGAACCACCAGTCTTATTTAAAATAGTTTTTGAATGACACCAGGCACCAAACGTGTTTTATGGGGCACTTATAATAAAAAATGTCGGAATTTTTTTTAATTTCTCTCCACTGTTGTTCGTGTCCCTAAAAGCTGCCTGTGTACCAAATGTCAGCTTTCTACCTTGCCGGGACGTTCCCGAGAGAGGTTAGTACAGATTAAGGTCTTTCTATAGATAGACATTTGACACTGAAATCAAGCAAAGCTACCCGTCTTTGTCACAACAACAACAACCGCCATTCGCCACTAAGTGGCGGTGACGTCACCACGACGCTTGTGCCAGGCCAAGTGCACCTTGAGGCCACGTGAAGTGTCGAACGCCCGCTGGCAGGAGGTCACGGGGCAGACCCAGCAGGTGCCACGAGTCGACTGACTGAGATGACCGAGATGACTGGCCGATGCACCGCCTGTGCCCCCTACCGTGCCAACTTTGTCGCCGGACTGGGCTAACAGCCTTTGGAGCGGTTTTGCCAGATTGGCCCCGCACCGGCGGAATAATGTCGGAAGCGGCCGGATTAAACGCGCAATGCCGGATAATCGACGGGTCGACTGTATAGCTCGGTGAGACCTTGGCTGGCACGAAAAAAAAAAGTTTAGTTTCGTTTGTGGTTATTGCCGCTTTCTGGCCGGAACGGTGAGCTGATCCGGCACCGGCCGCATGGACGTTGGCTCGGTGCCAAACCGAGTTTCGAGGGCAAGTTGCTGCGGTCGATATCTTTATCATCTTTGCGTAATTTGTATTAAGCGTACTCTTAGTTTTTTCGGTAAAGTCACGTAGTTTAGTTTCAATTTTTTACCCACGTGACTTTACCGAAAAAACTAAGAGTATCCTTGCAGTCACGAAAGCTTCAAATCTAGAATTATATTTAGCGCCTTAACCATGAGGCGCTTTGCAAAGAATTAACGGATGGTGTACAGCGGCTGCGTGCGTGTGCGTGCGTGTGTGAGTACGAGCGGTGGTGCATCGGTTAGCGCTGCGCTACGAACCCGGCGACCCGAGTTCAAATCCTGCTCATGGTCACCAACACCGGTAGTGACGATTATCTGAACCGGTCATGGGCCTCCCCTAGGTCGACGCGGCCTCAACTTATTACCCCGGTGTGGCTTGTGGTAATCATCGCCACTGGGGATGTGGTGTTGGCCACCCACCCCCTCGTGTGCCACTGTGCCGGCATTCGTAACAGCACTTGCCCCAACAGTCTATTCGGGCTATACGGGGGATCTTTGTCTTTTGAGAGTGTGAGCGTAGCGGCGGGAGATGAGGTGGATGAAATACATCGATGAGAGGCATCCATGGAGAGGGGGGGGTGGCAAATCTGTGGCAATGATGGCGATGATTGTTATGATTGTGATGGCGGTGGTGGTGGTGATGATGATGATGGTCGTAATGGTCGTGGTGATGGTCGTGATGTCTATGATGATGGCTATGATGATGGTGATGATGATGGTGGTGGTGACGGCGGTGGTGATGATAGCAGCTCACTTCGTTGAGCTTCTAGCATTCTAAAAAAAGTAGCTACACATCAGGTCAGTGGGGCCTTACCTGGTTAAAATAAAAATAGCTTTTAGTTGAATTTCGATTTAAAGCTTTCGTGACTACAGGGATTCATCTTATTGGTTCTTTCGGTAAAGTCACGTAGAAGGGGAATAATAAAATAATAAAAATAAAACATAATTAAATAATTCTCACGACGTTTCGGCCACAACGCAAGCAGCCGTCCTCAGGTGAAGAACAGGTCAGACGCTGTCTTTCCGACAGACCTGTTCTTCACCTGAGGACGGCTGCTTGCGTTGTGGCCGAAACGTCGTGAGAATTATTTTATTATGTTTTATTTTTATTATTTTATTATTTCCCTTCTACGCTACTTTACCGAAAGAACCAAGAAGATGAGTTTTTAGTTGATTTAGCCATAGGCGCTCTCCCACTTCTTAGCCTGAATCCGTCCCTGCTCTCCCGCCCGCCGCGTGTCTCCCCGCCACAGGCAAAGGCGCCGGAGAACTACGTAGGCTTTGCCAATCTCCCCAACCAGGTGTACCGCAAATCGGTGAAGCGCGGCTTCGAGTTCACCCTCATGGTGGTCGGTGAGTCTCCTCCCTGTGTGCGTGCAGACGTGCGTGCGTGCGTAGCCAAGCGTGCTAATTGGAGGTGGCGGGGAGGGAAACAAACTATGGGTCTCTGCTGTGTGATGAGTCTATGGCTCTCTGCTGTGTGATGAGTCTATGGGTCTCTGCCGTGTGATGAGTCTGTGGCTCTCTGCTGTGTGATGAGTCTATGGGTCTCTGCTGTTTCATGAGTCTATGGCTCTCTGCTGTGTGATGAGTCTATGGGTCTCTGCTATGTGATGAGTCTATGGGTCTCTGCTGTGTGATGAGTCTATGGCTCTCTGCTGTGTGATGAGTCTATGGCTCTCTGCTGTGTGATGAGTCTATGGGTCTCTGCTGTGTGATGAGTCTATGGGTCTCTGCTGTGTGATGAGTCTATGGGTCTCTGCTGTGCGATGAGTCTATGGGTCTCTGCTGTGTGATGAGTCTATGGGTCTCTGCTGTGTGATGAGTCTATGGGTCTCTGCTGTGCGATGAGTCTATGGGTCTCTGCTGTGTGAGTAGTCTATGGGTCTCTGCTGTGTGATGAGTCTATGGGTCTCTGCTGTGTGATGAGTCTATGGGTCTCTGCTGTGTGATGAGTCTATGGGTCTCTGCTGTGTGATGAGTCTATGGGTCTCTGCTGTGTGATGAGTCTATGGGTCTCTGCTGTGTGATGAGTCTATGGGTCTCTGCTGTGTGATGAGTCTATGGGTCTCTGCTGTGTGAGTAGTCTATGGGTCTCTGCTGTGTGATGAATCTATGGGTCTCTGCTGTGTGATGAGTCTATGGGTCTCTGTTGTGTGATGAGTCTATGGGTCTCTGCTGTGTAAGTCTATGGGTCTCTGTGTGAGTCTGTATATATATAAAAGGGAAATGTGTGATTATGTGTATCTGTTTGAAATGTTTAGCATACTTCCCGACATGCAACAAACTTGAAATTTGGCATGTGGGTAGATTCCAGACTGTACACAATGCAAAAAGTATAAAAATAGACTTTTGTATTTTGGGGGGGGGGGGGGGGGGAGGGAATGACCATGAAATATGTGGCGTCATTCCACATACAGGGCTGCCGAGAATCGATATCTGCTGAGCGTTTGTGGTATCGATTAAACGGGAATAAGCCGATTATAAAGAAATCGACAACCTTCGATTCCTTTGCGCCATTTAAAGAATCGAATCTTGGCGCTTGAGCGTAAGTTTTGTTATTTTTCCACCGCTCGTTAGGTTTTATTTTACGAGGTAATGATCAAAGTTTTCTTTTCATTTGTATATGTTATGTTTTTAAATTTTGAGAAGTTTTAAAATCTATTTTTTCCCCCGGGTAACGCCGTGTACTTCCCGCTAGTGTGTGCATTCATGTTGAAATAATTTCGCACCGTGGAAGTTTTGGCACTCACACCCAGTCCGCACGCGAACCACCAACCCCGTGTGGGACCGCAGGCGAGTCTGGCCTGGGGAAATCGACGCTCATCAACTCCCTGTTCCTGACGGAGATCTACTCCAGCGAGCACCCGGGGCCATCCCAGCGTATCAAGAAGACTGTGCAGGTAACGGCACCGTCCCTACGGTCACCACCAGCGTTGGTGCGTGTGTGTGTGTACGCGTTGGTGCGTGTGTGTGTGTGTGCTCACCGTGTGCGTACACGTTGGTGCGTGTGTGTGCATGTACACGTTGGTGTATGCGTGTGTGTTCACCGTATGTGTACACGTTGGTGCGTGCGTGTGCATGTACACGTGTGTGTGTGTGTGAACACGTTGGTGCGCGTGTGTACGTGTGGACTCGCCGTGTGCGTACACGTTGGTGCGTGTGTGTGTACGCGTGTGTGTGTGTGCGTGTGCGCTCACCGTGTGTGTACACGTTGGTGTGTGCGTGTGTGCTCACCGTGTGTGTACATGGTGGTGCGTTCGTGTGCGTGTACACGTGTGTGTGTGTGTATGTGAACATGTTGGTGGGTGCGTGTGGTTGTGTGCTCACCGTATGCGTACACGTTGGTGCGTGTGTGTGTGCGTGTGTGCTCACTGTGTGCGTACACGTTGGTGCGTGTGTGTGTGTGAACATGTTGGTGTGTGCGTGTGTGTGTGGTTGTGTGCTCACCGTGTGCGTACACGTGTGTGCGTGCGTTTAGGTGGAGCAGAGCAAGGCGTTGGTGAAGGAGGGCGGTGTCCACCTCACCCTCACTGTGGTGGACACGCCGGGCTTCGGCGATGCGGTGGACAACAGCAACTGGTGAGGGAGAGCTCTTTGGTTCTTTCGGTAAAGTGACGTATAAAGATAAAATAATAAATTAAATACTAGCATACGACGTTTCGATTGCAACACAAGCAATCATCGTCAGGTATAAATGAAATAGAAACACAAATCTAGTATACTTAGAAATGTAATGTAATACAACAGAGAGTCGGATAACATAACAGTCAACACCCTACCTGGTTGATTACGTTCTTCCTGAGAATGCTAAATTTCAGAGAGAGATAAAACACAGAACCAGAGACATGTAGACAGACATATAAGCAGAGAGAGATATCACAGAGATACATAGAGAGAGAGAGACGTACATAGGCACACAGAGAAACCACGTCTCTGTGTCGAGGCCTTAAATAGAGAGAGGGGGCGGAGTGAGAGGGAGGGGTTAGAGAAATTAGCATGTCAATGAGTGGCACGCTGAATTAAATAACCTAGCAAAATTTCGAAATGTAATGTAATGCAACACAGAGAGTCGGTCAACACACAATTAACGCGTAGACTGGTTGATTACGCCCAACCGCCTTTGTCTCCCCAGTGGCGATGTTTACACACCGCACCAGGTACTCATTTGAGGCCGAGTCGACCTAGGGGAGGCCCAGAACCGGTTCGGATAATCGTCACCGGTGTTGGCCGTGAGTGGGAATCGAACCCGGGTCACCAGGTGCGTGACCCGGTGAGGGAGAGCCCACCACCCCTCATCCCCCCACCCCTCCCAACTCCTCCTCATCACTGTCACCCCCTCTGCTGCTGCTGCTGCTACTGCTGTGTGTGTGTGAGCGTAGCTGGCAGCCCGTCATTGACTTCATCGACAGCAAGTTTGAGGACTTTCTGAACGCGGAGTCGCGCGTAAACCGGCGGCAGCTGCCGGACACTCGCGTGCACTGCTGCCTCTACTTCATCGCTCCCTCGGGCCACGGGTGAGTGGCCGGGGGGGTTGGTGGGGGGCCGTAGGAAGGGTGAGTGACCCTGAGAAGGTGCGGCGGTGGTGGTGCGTGTGGGTGTGGCTGTGTGGCTGTGTGTGTGTATGTGATAGCGTGTGGCTGTGTGATTGTGTGTGTGTGTGTGAGTGTGATTGTGTGGCTGTTTGATAGTGTGGCTCTGTGTGTGGCTGTGTGATTGTGTGTGTGTGTGTTTGATAGTGTGGCTGTGTGTGTGAGGGTGTGATTGTGTGTGTATGTGATAGTGTGTGTGGGGAGTGGTAGTGTAGTGGTTAGCGCGCTGCGCTACGAACCCGGCCACCCGAGTTCGATTCCCGCTCACGGCCAACACCAGTGACGATTATCTGAACCGGTCTTGGGCCTCCCCTAGGTCGACTCAGCCTCAAATGAGTACCTGGTGCGGTGTGTAAACATCACTACTGGGGGAGAGACAAAGGCGGCCCTGAATATTATTTTTGTGAGGTTCGGTGCGGCTGAAGCATGCTACGTGACTTTACCGAAAAAACTTAAGAATATGAATCCTTGCAGTCATGAAAGCTTCAAATCTAGAATCAATAATATCTATATATTTAAAAGAGAAATATGTGAATGTGTGTCCGTTTGAAATGTTTAGCATACTTCCCAACATGCAACAAACTTGAAATTTGGCATGCGGGCAGCTTCCAGACTGTACACAATGCAAAAAGTATAAAAAATTACTTTTGTATTTTTGGGGGGGTGTGGGCGCAATAATGGATATATTTTGCATGGCGGCAATGCTCGCGGTGGCAGGCTAAAGCCTCTGGACATTGAGTTCATGAAGCGGCTGCACGAGAAGGTCAACATCATCCCCCTCATCTCCAAGGCCGACACGCTCACCCCGGACGAGTGCAAGAACTTCAAGAAGCAGGTGCCTTGAAAACGGCGTTGTTTGGGTCCTGTGAGTAGTCTCTGGCTCTTTGCTGTGTGATGAGTCTGTGGGTCTCTGCTGTGTGATAAGTTTATGGGTCTCTGCTGTGTGATGAGTCTATGGGTCTCTGCCGTGTGATGAGTCTACGGCTCTCTGCTGTGTGATGAGTCTATGGGTCTCTGCTGTGTGATGAGTCTATGGCTCTCTGCTGTGTGATGAGTCTGTGGGTCTCTGCTGTGTGATGAGTCTATGGGTCTCTGCCGTGTGATGAGTCTGTGGGTCTCTGCTGTGTGATGAGTCTATGGGTCTCTGCTGTGTGATGAGTCTATGGCTGTCTGCTGTGTGATGAGTCTATGGGTCTCTGCCGTGTGATGAGTCTATGGCTCTCTGCTGTGTGATGAGTCTATGGCTCTCTGCTGTGTGATGAGTCTATGGGTCTCTGCTGTGTGATGAGTCTATGGGTCTCTGCTGTGTGATGAGTCTATGGCTCTCTGCTGTGTGATGAGTCTATGGGTCTCTGCCGTGCGAGTAGTCTATGGGTCCCTGCCGTGTGTCATACCGTGTCGTCCTCCAGATCATGAAGGAAATCGCGGAAAACAAAATCAAGATCTACGACTTCCCCGACACGGAGGACGAGGAGGAGAACAAGATGGCCAAGAAGATCAAGGTTCGGGGCTCACGATGGCTTCGTTGTTGTCGTCCACGCGTGTTTTAATCGTCGACCGTGGCTGGCGACGTTTAATGTGACGCGCGCTCTACACACACACACCAGAGGTCGCAACCGGGTACCCGATACCCATACCCTACCCCATACCCGGCTACCGTTTGCGACCCTGGTGCGGCCGGGTACGGGTACGGGTAGGCCGCGAGTCACTGGTGAGTCACCGTTTGTCACTCACCCTACCCGTACCCAGCCAGGTACCCTACCCGTACCTGGCTGGGTACGGGTAGGGTACCCGTTTGCGACCCTGGTGCGGCCGGGTATGGGTACGGGTAAGGAATCAAAACCCGTTTGCGACCTCTGACACGCACACACGTTGACTACGCACCACACCAGGTACTCATTTGAGGCGAGTGCTGTTAGGGAGAGTAGCACCTGTGAAGGCCGGCACTGTGACACACGAGGGGGTGGGTGGCCAGCCACCATGTCCGACCGCCTTTGTCTCCCCAGTGGCGATGAATTTGCACACTGCAGTAGGTGCTCGATTTGAGGCTGAGTCAACCTAGGGCGAGGCCCAGGACCGGTTCGGATGATCGCTATCACTGATGGCGTTGGCCGTGAGCGGGCAGTAGCCGGGTTCGTAGCGTAGCGCTAACCGCCACGCTGCTACTGCTCCCCACGCCACCAAGGGCACTGACCCAGCGTGGTGACGTATGGTCAAATCACCTCCACCTCCAGCCCCCCCATCACCCCTCATGACCCTCGTGGTTTGGTGTTTGCGGTGGCTAGGAGATGTGAACTACCTCGCCTGGTATGCAGGAGGTTGTGGGTTCGATACTGACCCCTGACGACGCCTGCTGTTGTATATTTGGAGTCTGCGTCTCTCTCTCATCATCACCACGGTGGCTATGAGATGTTAACTACCTCGCCTGACATGCAGGAGGTCGTGGTTTCAATCATGACCCTGACGATGCCTGCTGTTGTATATTTGGAGTTTGCGTCTTTATCTCTCTCTCATCTTCATCATCACCATGGTGGCTAGCAGATGTTAACTACCTCGCCTGGTATGTCGTGGGTTCGATCCCGTGACCCTGTCGCCTGCTGCTGTATATTTGGAGTTTGCATCTCTCTCATCATCATCATCATCACCACGGTGGCTAGGAGATGTTGACTACCTCGCCTGATATTCAGGAGGTCGTGGGTTCGATCCTGACCCTGACGATGCCTGCTGTTGTATATTTGGAGTCTGCGTGTCTCTCTCATCATCACCACGGTGGCTATGAGATGTTAACTACCTCGCCTGACATGCAGGAGGTCGTGGGTTCGATCCCGACCCTGACGATGCCTGCTGCTGTTCTGGGCTACATGGTGGTGGTGGTTATGTTTTGTCTCTGCGTGCACTAGGAGCGGATTCCACTTGCGGTCGTGGGCAGCAACACGCTCATCGACGTCAACGGCAAGAAAGTTCGCGGGCGACAATATCCCTGGGGCGTGGCCGAGGGTAAGAACACGCCCCTCCACCACCTCACCCCCCACTCCTCTCTCTCTCCCCCCACTCCGCCCTCTCACGATGACACGAAAGCTTTTACATCATTGGAACCTCATTTGCCAGTAAAAATATGATTATTGGTTTTTTACCCTTCTATCTGGCAACAAAACTGACACATTTTACAAGGAGTCATGTTTGCATAGACCACAATACCTGCAGTCATAATGCAAACAAAAAACATAACTCTGATAATGTGCACTGTCTTTGAAGTTGCTCTAAGGAAAGCTGTCTCGGGTGTGGACCAAGCAACTTCAAGGACAGTGCACATTATCAGAGTTATGTTTTTTGTTTGCATTACGACTGCAGGTATTGTGGTCTATGCAAACATGACTCCTTGCAAAAAGTGTCAGTTTTGTTGCCAGATAGAAGGGTAAAAAACCAATTATGACACGAAAGCTATAAACATTTTTTTACGCGCTTTTATTTAACTCTCTCTGTCCCTCAACCAGTATATATACAAGGACTGTTTTCTTGGAATTTCTCATTTACTTGATACAGCTATCGTGCTGTGACGGTTCCACCTGAAGACGGAAGCTTGTGTTGCCTCCGAAACGTCGTGATTTTTATTTTACTTAAATTATTAATTTCAATTTTAATTGTTTACCTACGTAACTTTACCGAAAAAACCTAAGAGTATGAATCCTTGCAGTCACGAAAGCTTCAAATCCGTTGTTGTATCCTCAAATATTGTAAACTTGGTACACTTATGTCATACTGATGACAATACTATATTCTATCATTAAAAATGAAAAATACATATTTTTTACATTCTTCTTTACATGTTATATTTCGGCTTGGGTCTAATTGTCCACGGTCAACTGACGTTGGCTGTTATTGCCCACGGTCCCTTACGTTGTGGCAAGCTACGGGGCCACTTCCTGGCGTCGTGGAGTTCTTTTTTTACTTTTTAGTAAATTTCATGAAATCGTGTTTAAAAAAGAAAGTTTTTTAAATATTTTATTTGTTTATTTGACCAGATAAGGCCCCCAACTAAGCTGCCATGTAGTGTAGCTCTTTGTTCAGAAGCGACCTGGGCCATCGCGACTGGATAGAAGTACAACGCAGAGACCCGCAGAGACCCGCAGAGACCCGCAGAGACCCGCAGAGACCCGCAGAGACCCGCAGAGACCCGCAGAGACCCGCAGAGACCCGCAGAGACCCGCAGAGACCCGCAGAGACCCGCAGAGACCCGCAGAGACCCGCAGAGACCCGCAGAGACCCGCAGAGACCCGAACTAATGCTTAAAAATCCACTCGGCCGTCACGGAGAGTGGGAGAGAGAGAGAGAGAGACGCAAACTCCAAATATACAGCAGCAGGCGTCGGGGTCGGGATCGAACCCATGACCTCCTGTATACCGGGCGAGGTAGTTAACATCTCCTAGTCACCGTGATGATGATGATGATGAGAGAAAGAAACAAACTTTAAATATACAGCAGCAGTTGTCAGGGGTTGGAATCGAACCCACGCGCTCCTGCACACCGGGCGAGGTAGTTAACATCTCATAGCCACTGTGATGATGATGATGATGAGAGAAAGACGCAAACTTTAAATATACAGCAGCAGGCGTCGGGGTCAGGATCGAACCCACGACCTCCTGCACACCAGGCGAGGTAGTTAACATGTCATAGCCACCATGACAGCTTCCCCTATTTAATGCACGGGCATAATGAGTTTAAACCCCCCGCCAAACATGTTACGCATTTCACAAGTAGTACTAATCGCATATCTGCATTTCCCATAAATATGCTAAATTCCTCTTGATATGCAAATTATTTTGTCAAGGCGCTCTTCCCCCTCCAACCCAGCAGCTTAAATAGACGCTCCAAGCCTGGGGTGTGTCATTCAGACGCTGTCTTCTCGACAGACCTGTTCTCCACCTGAGGACGGCTGCTTGCGTTGTGGCCGAAACGTCGTGAGAATTGTATTTTATAATGTTTTATTATTATTATTTTATTATTTCCCTTCTACGTGATGACTTTACCGAAAGAACCAAGAAGATGAATCCCTGCTGCAGTCACGAAAGCTTTAAATCGAAATTGCACTGGAAAGTAATTGTATTTTTTCCATTCGCTATACGGCCAGATGACACGACAAATCGCTAAGCTTAGACACCCGGTCGTTCGTAAGAGTCGACGGCGGTATAGTACTACAGCAATAGAGCAAGTGCAGAATCACCGAAACGGAATTTAGGGCTCGAAAGCGTTTAGCGAGGGGCCCCGTAGCTGCTTCATGTGGAGCTACTTTTGCTACCGGGATAATCCGGCACCGCCGCCGTGAGATTACTAGGTCACCGCGCACGGCGCGGGGAGACGCCGTTGTAGCAGGAGGAGGCGGTGCGAGAGACGTGGGTCTGTTTGGCCAAAGCCCCGAAATAGTTTTGAGAATTTTTTTTTTGTGGTTTGTGTTTGTGGGGGGGGAGGGGGTGGTTGATGGGGAGGATGAGGTGGGGGGAGGAGAGGGGAGAATGATGATGGGGAGGGAGGAAGGATGGGGGATGAGGAGGGAGGGATGAGGAGGGAGGGAGGGATGAGGAGGGAGGGAGGGATGAGGAGGGATGAGGAGGGAGGGTCGGAGGGGATGATTTAATCAGAGGAGGAGGAAGAGGAGTAAGCGGCTGCTGCGATGATTTAACTTGCGTGTGTGCGCTCACGATGTAACGTGTGTGTGTGCGCTCACGATGTAACGTGTGTGTGTGTGCTCACGATGTAACGTGTGTGTGTGTGCTCGCGATGTATCGTGTGTGTGTGTGTGTGTTCGCTCATGATGTAACGCGTGTGTGTTTGTGTTCACTCACGATGTAACGCGTGTGTGTGTGCGCGTGTGTGTGTTCGTGTGTGCTCATGATGTAACGTGTGTGTGTGTGTGCGCGCTCGCGATGTAACGTGTGTGTGTGTGTGCGCGCTCGCGATATAACGCGTGTGTGCGCTCGCGATGTAACGTGTGTGTGTGTGTGCGCGCTCGCGATGTAACGTGTGTGTGTGCTCGCGATGTAACGCGTGTGTGTGTGTGCGCGCGTGTGTGTTCGTGTGTGCTCATGATGTAACGTGTGTGTGTGTGTGCGCGCTCGCGATGTAACGTGTGTGTGTGTGTGTGTGCTCGCGATGTAACGTGTGTGTGTGTGTGCGCGCTCGCGATGTAACGTGTGTGTGTGTGCGCGCTCGCGATGTAACGTGTGTGTGTGCGCGCTCGCGATGTAACGCGTGTGTGTGTGTGGGCGTGCGTGTGTGTGTGCGATGTAACGTGTGTGTGTGTGTGTGCGCGCTCGCGATGTAACGTGTGTGTGTGTGTGCGCGCTCGCGATGTAACGTGTGTGTGTGCGCGCGTGTCTCCTCCCCCTCTCCGTGCTGTGCTTGGCCGGACACCAGCGGGCGTCATTGGTAAACACCCAACCCACCCCTGCCCCCCCCCACTCGCCCCCCCCCTGCTCCCCCCCCCTGCTCCCCCCCCTGCTCCCCCCACACCTCTCCCAGCCTCCCTCCCCTCCCCTGCCCACATCGTGCCCACATCGCTCCTTGAACCGAATAGTTTTTTATTTTGTCCGGGTGCAAGGCCGGTTCCCCCCTCCCACACTGAGCTTCTGTGTGGTAGCGCTTTGTTCAGGAAGCATCCTGGACCAACACAAATGGGAAACGCTTGATATCATCATCACCATCATCACGTGGAGATTTGTAGCCGCAGTCGAATACTCTCCACGTACACAGGCCCACACTCGTTGAGACCCATACCAAAACTAAGCTTTTATTTGACCAGGTAAAGCTCTGGCTGAGCTTGGTAGTAAAATAGTTTAGTATGGGTCTTGATGAGCGTGGGTCTGTATACGTTTGGAGTATTTAGCTGCTGCTATGAATGTTCACGGGACGACGACGATGATGATGATGTTAGCAGGCACTCTGAGCTGCTATCAGAGGTCGCAAACGGGTTTTGATTCCTTACCCGTACCCGGCCGCACCAGGGTCGCAAACGGGTACCCGTAACCTACCTGATACCCGGCTACCCGTACCCGGCCGGGTATCGGGTAGGGTACGGGTACCCGATTGCGACCTCTGGGATGAAGCCATGTTGCAGGCGCGGGTGGGTTGATTCTAGTAACTTGAATTGTGAGAAGAGACAAGACGTTGAGAAATGAGTGACAAACGGTGACTCACCAGTGACTCACGGCCTACCCGTACCCGGCCGCACCAGGGTCGCAAACGGGTACCCGTACCCGTACCCAGCCGGGTATCGGGTAGCCGGGTATCGGGTAGGGTAGCCGGGTATCGGGTAGGGTAGCCGGGTATCGGGTAGGGTACGGGTATCGGGTACCCGGTTGCGACCTCTGGCTGCTATCCATTCGTGGTGCCCAGATCGCTTCTGAACGAAGAGCTACCACACAGCCAACTCAGCGGGGCCCTTAAACCTGATAAAATAAAAAATAGCTGAGCCCTGTCAGTGATTGCGGTATATCGCCGCTACCCTCCTGTCCCAACTAGTGGGGTGGGTGGGTGGCGGAGGGAGACATTGGCTCTGTGCGTGGTCTCGGGCGTCGGGGGAGCGGCGGTGCAGCGGTTAGCGTGCTGCGGCGGTACGCTACCAACCCCAGCGTACGAACCGAGTTCGATTCCCCGCTCACGGCCACCGACAACACCGCTGACGGCGATTTTACCCGAGCCGGCCTTCCCTAGGTCGACTCGGCCTCAAATGAGTTACTCGGTGCGGCGTGTAGTAAACATCGCCACTGGGGAGACAAAGGCGGCCGGGCGTGGTGCTGGCCACCCACCCCCTCGTGTGTGCCACAGTGCCGGTAGCCTTCCTAGGTGCTGCTGCTGCTGCTGCTACTCGCTGCTAACAGCCCCTTGCCCCAGCAGTCTGTTACAGGCTACACGGGGGATCTTGGTAGAGGGGAACTTTTGTCAGCCGGTGGTGGTGGTTATGACGATAGCGGTGGTTATGGTGGCAGTGGTGGTTATGGTGGTAGTGGTGTAGGTATGGCGGTCGTGGTGGTGTTACGGTGCTTGTCGTGGTTGTTATGGTGGTCGTGGTGGTGTTATGGTGGTTGTAGTTGTTAAGATGGTAGGGGTGGTTATGGTGGTTTGGTGGTTATGGTGCTGGTGGCTGGGCGGTGGTGCGGTAAATTCGCCATGGCTTTGTCTCGGCATGCGGCTGTGGGCTTGGTGGTGGTGAGTGTTGGTGAGTGGGGGGGTGGTGAGTGGGCCCTGGTGGTAGTGGTGGTGAGTGGGGCGTGGTGAGGAGGGTGGACGGTGGTGAGCGGATTGGTGAGGCTGGTGAGCGACGCCTTGAAGCTGTGTTCCTCTCTGCCCCCCCCCACCCCCCGCTCTGTGTGGTGCAGTTGAAAACGGCGAGCATTGTGACTTCAACGTGCTGCGCAACATGCTCATCAGGTGAGCGCTGTCGCTGTGTGTGTGTGTGTCGCGCTGTGTGTGTCGCGCTGTGTGTGTGTGTCACGCTGTGTGTGTGTGTCACGCTGTGTGTGTGTGTCACGCTGTGTGTGTGTGTCACGCTGTGTGTGTGTGTCACGCTGTGTGTGTGTGTCACGCTGTGTGTGTGTGTCACGCTGTGTGTGTGTGTCAGCGCTGTGTGTGTGTGTGTGTCGCGCTGTGTGTGTGTGTGTGTCGCGCTGTGTGTGTGTGTGTGTCGCGCTGTGTGTGTGTGTGTGTCGCGCTGTGTGTGTGTGTGTCGCGCTGTGTGTGTGTGTGTCGCGCTGTGTGTGTGTGTGTCGCGCTGTGTGTGTGTGTGTCGCGCTGTGTGTGTGTGTGTCGCGCTGTGTGTGTGTGTCGCGCTGTGTGTGTGTCGCGCTGTGTGTGTGTCGCGCTGTGTGTGTGTCACTCTGTGTGTGTGTCACTCCTACCTCCTCGCGGTGCCGGACGGGCAACACTGTCGTGGGCAGTGCTGTGGGGGGAGGGCCAATGCCCATTGGCCTCTCCCCTCATGGCGTCTGTGACCACCACAGTGGCTAAACGGGGGCTCTGGACGGGTGTGAGGGGCTGGTAACCCCTCCACCTTCAATTCATTACCACTAAACCACGAATTAAACATAAACCTGTAACAAATAAGCTTGTGCCGGAGGCCCCGGGGGGTCAGGCTTTTATGACGTCTCCTGGCCAAACCCCATTTGGCGGAGCCAGGAGATTGAATTTTCACCCTCGGGGCTCCTCCAGAAACAACAAAAAACCATTGCGGATGGCCACGTGGAATGTTCGAACGCTCACTGCGGAGGAGAGGCTGCCACTCCTCTGTCGGGAGCTGGACCGGTACCGCCTGGATCTCTGTGGCATTCAGGAGGTCCGGTGGACCGGTTCTGGCTCCTGCCACCATGAGGGGTGGACAGTCCTCTACTCGGGGCAGGAGACTGCCAAACAACAGGGTGTGGCTCTTCTTCTGAACAAAATAATGAAGGGGGCGTGGGAGCGTGGCGGTGAGGTGTGGGAAGCTGTAAGCCCCAGGATACTTTGGGCTCGCCTTCCCATCAACCAGAGGCGAGGAGTGGTGGTCGTGGTTACTTATGCCCCCACCGAAGACGAACATCCGTGGAGGGATGCAAGCAAAGCCGATGAGTCAGACGCTTTCTATGACCTCCTGTCACAGGTGCTGGCTAAAGTGGCCACTCGGGACAGAGTCATCTTGTTGGGTGACTTCAATGCCCGAGTTGGTCATGATGCTGACACCTGGTCTGGAGTGATTGGAAGGCATGGGCCAGATCAGCTCAATAATAACGGTAGGAGGCTGCTAGATTTTTGTGCAGCCCATGGGCTTGTAATTACCAACACGCTCTTCCGGCATCGGCGCATCCACACAACATCATGGATACATGCCGGGTCCAAGCAAGAACATCTGCTGGACTACATAGTGACGGACCAGCGGATGCGAACCCATGTCCTTGACACCAGGACCTACCGTGGAGCTGATCTGTCCTCTGACCATCGACTAGTCATCTGTAAGATGCGCCTGCCTTTCTTCCACTCCGGTGGTGGGTGTACACCCAGGATCCCATTCCAACCAAAAGTGGCCTGGTCTCAGTTAGCTGATGAAAGTTGCAAGCGAGAATTTCATCATCGCTTGCAGCTGGGGTTGGCATCGTCCCCCACTCCACCTGATGTCGAGGGTAAATGGGCGAGGTTTAGGACTGTGACTCATGCAGCTGCAATGGCTGCTTTGGGTACGCGGTCCAGACCTCCCCAGAAACCCTGGCTGACAGAGGAGGTGTTCAGGTTAATTGAGAAAAAGCGACAGGCCCACTCTCATCGCCTACAGCATCCCACGTCAGAGAATGAGGAGGTTTACCGCAGCCTTCGCTCGGAAGTTCGGAGAGCCGTAAGGCGTTGTAAGGATGGGTGGTGGTCGCGGGTTGCTGAGGAGATGGAGTCTGCCTCAGTGGCCCGTGATCACAAATCACTATTTAACTCCATCAAAAAAGTAACCTGCAGCGCCACACCTATTACCATCATTAGAGGAAAAAACGGTGATCCAATCTCCGACCCCCAGGAACAGGTTTGCAGATTTGCTGAGCATTTCTGTGAGGTCCTGGGGGAGGGAAATTCTCTCAGCCAGGAAAACATCATGGCACAAAGTGGGGATAACCCTGCTGAGGCTGCGGTGCCTCAAATATTGGAAGAGGTCACCCCCTGTGAGTGGCTGGCTGAGGTTCCAGCTGTTGAGGAAGTACTGAGGGCGATCCGGAGCCTGAGACCAGGGAAGGCACCGGGCAGAGATGATCTCCCAAGCGAAATGCTGAGGGAGGGTGGCGTTTGTGCACAGACTGCCCTATATGACATCATAACAACAGTCTGGACCACTGGACGGGTTCCGCAGGACTGGAAGGATGCCCTGGTGGTCCCCCTCTTTAAGAAGGGGGACCGCACAGACTGTAACAACTACAGGGGCATCTCACTCCTCAGTGTGCCGGGTAAGGTCCTGGCAAGGATTATTCAACATCGCCTTGCTAGGCACGCTGAGGAGGGGCTTGCGGAGCCCCAATGCGGTTTCAGGAAAGGGCGGTCCTGCACAGATGCCATATTTTCTGTCCGTCTGCTACAGCAGAGGTGTAGGGAATTCCAAAAAGACCTACATCTCTGCTTTATTGACCTGGTCAAGGCCTATGATACCATCAGTAGGACTGGACTCTGGGTTGTTCTTCGTGCTTTCGGAGTCCCTGACCCTCTGCTCACGATCATTAAGGACCTTCATGATGGTGAGCGGGCCCGGGTAAAACTACGTGGCCGGGAGTCGGAGCCTTTCCCTGTACACCTTGGGGTGCGACAGGGATGTCCTCTGGCTCCCACATTATTTAACATCTATTTTGACCGCGTAGTTCGTGAAGCCTTCAATAGCTGTACCGGGGGAATTTCCGTTTGGTACAGATATAATGGGAGGCTGATCGACGCCCGGGTGCGATCAAGGGATGGCTCCCTATTGGTCAACCACGTTATGTATGCCGATGATTTGGTAATAGCTGCTCATTCAGAAGAGGAGTTGGAGGCGCTGCTGCTGAGACTGGAGCGTGCCACTAAGAGGTGGGGCCTTACCATCAGCCCCACCAAAACCAAGCACCTGCCTGGGTATTTTGTACCATCGGACACTCCACCCCCACAACTCCCAATTGGTGATGGGGCAGTTGTGGAGAGAGTGGAGAGTTTCCCATACCTGGGCAGTGTGCTTATGACCGGCTCCAGTCTATCAGCAGAGGTCTCACTCCGAATCAGTCGAGCGGCAATATCTTTTCATCGGTTGCGTAACGCTGTGTGGAAGCTACCTGGTCTGTCGCTCCGCACGAAGCTTCAGGTCTTCTCGGCCACGGTCATTCCCTCCCTTCTCTACGCTTGCGAGACGTGGACCCCCCTGGTGGAGCATCTTCGCCGGTTGGAAACATTTAGGCTGGCCTGCCTACGATCCATCCTGGGTTTAACCAGGCTGGATTGTGTGAGGAGCTCACAAATCCTTGAAAGATCTGGGCAAAGTCCCATCAGTGAGCCCCTCCGGCAGGCAAGGCTGCGTTGGCTGGGTCATGTAGCCCGCATGCCCAGCCACCGCATGCCTAAACAGCTTTTGTTCGGCCGGATCGAGGGGGCTAGACGGGCGCGGCACGGGCTGGAGAAGAGATGGAGTGATGTGGTACAGGAGGACGTGGAGCTGAGTGGACTTGCCGATGACTGGTACCAGCGGTGTCAAGATCGGCCTCAGTGGAGGAGGCTCGTGAAGGACGCTACTGGGCAGTTGGAGGCAGTCGCCCTCCAACAACAACGGAGGGCGGAGGAGCGACGCTCACAACAACGAGCGGAGCGCCGGGTGGCTAAAGCACAGCAAGTTGGCACAGTAGGGGGCACAGGTGGTGCATCAGCCAGTCATCTTGGTCATCTCGGTCAGTCGACCAGTGGCACCTGGGTCTGCCCCGTGACCTCCTGCCAGCGGGCTTTCGACACTTCACGTGGCCTCAAGGTGCACTTGGCCTGGCACAAGCATCGTGGTGACGTCACCGCCACTTAGTGGCGAATGGCGGTTGTTGTTGTTGTTGTGTGTCACTCTGTGTGTGTCACTCTGTGTGTGTGTCACTCTGTGTGTGTGTGCGCTGTCACACTGTACTCTCACTCGCTGTGCTGTCACGACCGTGGTGATGGTGGTGCTGGCCGTTGTAGTAGTGGCTGTGGTGATGGCGGCGATGATGGTGATGGCTGTGGTTATGATGGTTATGGTGGTGATGGTGGCTGCGGTGGTGACGGTGGTGGTGGTGGTGACGTTGGTGGTGGTGGTGGTGGTGACGTTGGTGGTGGTGACGTTGGTGGTGGTGGTGACGTTGGTGGTGGTGGTGAACGGTGGTGGTGGTTACGGTGGTGGTGGTTACGGTGACGGTGGTGACGGTGGTGACGGTGGTTGCCGTGAGCAGGACCCACATGCAGGACCTGAAGGACGTCACCAACAACGTTCACTACGAGAACTTCCGCAGCCGCCAGTTGGCGTCGGTCGCCTGCAACTCGTCCGACAACAACAAGGGCAGAGGACAGCTCTCCAAGTGAGGGGGACTGGGGGGCACGGGGGGGGGTGCTGTTGTGACAGTGTTAGTGACACGCTGACAGTGACACACTGACAGTGATACGATGACAGTGATACACTGACAGTGACACACTGACAGTGACACGCACACAGTGACGCACTGACAGTGACACACACACAGTGACGCACTGACAGTGACGCACTGACAGTGACGCACTGACAGTGACGCACTGACAGTGACACACTGACAGTGACACACTGACAGTGACACACACTGACAGTGACACACTTACACAGTGACACACTGACAGTGACGCACTGACAGTGACACACACACAGTGACGCACTGACAGTGACACACACACAGTGACACACTGACACACACACAGTGACGCACTGACAGTGACGCACTGACAGTGACATACTGACAGTGACATACTGACAGTGACACACACACAGTGACACACACTGACAGTGACACACACAGTGACACACACTGACAGTGACACACACAGTGACACACACTGACAGTGACACACACTGACAGTGACACACTGACAGTGACACACACTGACAGTGACACACACTGACAGTGACACACACACAGTGACACACAGACAGTGACACACACTGACAGTGACACACTGACAGTGACACAGTGACACACACACACAGTGACACGCTGACAGTGACACGGATGCCCCGGCCCTCCTCGCGCGTGCGCCAGCCGGAGCCCCATGGAGCAGATGGAGGAGGAGCGGCGAGCTCACGAGCACAAGATGCGCAAGATGGAGCTCGAGATGGAGCACGTGTTCGCGCTCAAGGTCGAGGAGAAGCTGCAGAAGCTCAGGGACTCGGAGGGCGACGTCAGTGGACGCACACACACGCACACATGTACACACACACGCATACACAGACACGCACACACGCACGCACACACGTACACACATGTACACGCACGCACGTACACACACGCACACACACACACATACACACGCACATACATACACACACGCACGCGCGCACACACACACATGCACACACGCACACATGCACACACACACGCACACACACGCACACGCACACACACATGCGCATGCACACGCGCATACATGCACACACACGCACGGGCGTCATGATCGGTTGCGTTGCGGTTACGGTTGTGTTGCAGTTGCAGTCGTCTCAACCTCCCCCCCCACCACCACACCACTCCCCCACCGTCTCCCTCCTCCTACCCCCCCCAACACCACCAACCACCATCACCCCCCCACCACCACTCCCCCCCTCCCTGCCCCCACCACCACCCCCCCACCGTCTCCCTCCTCCCACCTCCCCAACACCACTCACCACCTCCCCACCACCTCTCCCCTCCTCCCTGCCCCCACCACCACCCCCCCACCGTCTCCCACCCACCCACCACCCCCCCACCACAGCTGCATCGTCGTCACGAGCAGATGCGCAAGAACATGGAGGCTCAGAGCCGCGAGCTGGAGGACCGCCGCCGCCACTTTGAGGAGGAGAAGGCGGCGTGGGAGAGCCAGATGCACCTGCTGGAGCAGCAGCAGCGGGCCGAGGGCACGCGGTAAACACGCCCCTGGGGGTGGGGGGGAAGGTGGGGGGGTGGGTGGGGGGTGGGGGGGGTGGGGGCACTGGTCGCGCCTTGTCCAGATCGCCATCTACGGAAGGAACTTCTTCCTCTTCATTCTCTTACTCCCTCCCCTCCCTCTCCTCCCTCCCTCTCTCCTCCCCTCTCTTTCTGTGTGTGTGTGTGTGTGCCCTGTGTGTGTGTGTGTGCCCGCTCTCTCTGTGTGTGTGTGTGTGCCCTGTATGTGTGTGTGTGCCCTCTCTCTCTCTGTGTGTGTGTGTGCCATTTCTCTAACCTCTGTGTGTGTGCCGTCTCTCTCTCTCTCTCGGTGCGTGTCGCAGGACTCTGGAGAGAAACAAAAAGAAGAACAAGATTTTCTAGACTCCCCCGCACGGTCGCCCCGCGACGTCTCCCGGCTCGACTCTCCCCGCCGCTGTCCCGCTCATCGTCGCCACCACCCCCCACCACCCCTCCCCTCAACCTCACTCAGTACCCTGCACCTCGTCCCTCTCATCACCTGCGTGCGTGCACGTGCGTGCGCGTGCGTGCACGTGCGTGCGTGCACGGTGAACTTTTTTGGCACCACCGCATGCATCCAACCGTGCTAATCGGGAGTGTACGGGGGAAGAGCAACTATGGGTCTCTGTGTGAGTCTGTGGGTCTCTGTGTGTGAGTCTGTGGGTCTCTGTGTGAGTCTGTGGGTCTCTGTGTGTGAGTCTGTGGGTCTCTGTGTGTGAGTCTGTGGGTCTCGGTACGAGTCTGAAGGTCTCTGCTGTGTGAGTCTGTGGGTCTCTGTGTGAGTCTGTGGGTCTCTGTGTGTGAGTCTGTGGGTCTCTGCTGTGTGAGTCTGTGGGTCTCGGTACGAGTCTGAAGGTCTCTGCTGTGTGAGTCTGTGGGTCTCTGCTGTGTGAGTCTGTGGGTCTCTGCTGTGTGAGTCTGTGGGTCTCTGCTGTGTGAGTCTGTGGGTCTCTGCTGTGTGAGTCTGTGGGTCTCTGCTGTGTGAGTCTGTGGGTCTCTGCTGTGTGAGTCTGTGGGTCTCTGCTGTGCGAGTCTGTGGGTCTCTGCTGTGCGAGTCTGTGGGTCTCTGCTGTGCGAGTCTGTGGGTCTCTGCTGTGCGAGTCTGTGGGTCTCTGCTGTGCGAGTCTGTGGGTCTCTGCTGTGCGAGTCTGTGGGTCTCTGCTGTGCGAGTCTGTGGGTCTCTGTGTGAGTCTGTGGGTCCTCTGTGTGAGTCTGTGGTCTCTGTGTGTCTGTGGGTCTCTGCTGTCGAGTCTGTGGGTCTCTGTGTGAGTCTGTGGGTCTCTGCTGTGCGAGTCTGTGGGTCCTGCTGTGCGAGTCTGTGGGTCTCTGCTGGCGTGTCTGTGGGTCTCGGCTTGTGCGAGTCTGTGGGTCTCTGCTGTGCGAGTCTGTGGGTCTCTGCTGTGCGAGTCCTGTGGGTCTCTGCTGTGTGAGTCTGTGGGTCCTCTGCTGTGTGAGTCTGTGGGTCTGCTGTGTGTGAGTCTGTGGTCCTCTGCTGTGTGAGTCTGTGGGTCTCTGCTGTGTGAGTCTGTGGGTCTCTGCTGTGCGTGTCTGTGGGTCTCTGCTGTGTCGAGTCTGTGGGTCTCTGCTGTGCGAGTCTGTGGGTCTCTGCTGTGCGAGTCGGTGGGTCTCTGCTGTGCGAGTCTGTGGTCTCTGCTGTGCGGGTCTGTGGGTCCTCTGCTGTGCGAGTCTGTGGGTCTCTGCTGTGCGAGTCTGTGGGTCTCTGCTGTGTGAGTCTGTGGGTCTCTGCTGTGCGAGTCTGTGGGTCTCTGTGTGAGTCTGTGGGTCTCTGCTGTGTGAGTCTGTGGGTCTCTGCTGTGTGAGTCTGTGGGTCTCTGCTGTGTGAGTCTGTGGGTCTCTGCTGTGTGAGTCTGTGGGTCTCTGCTGTGTGAGTCTGTGGGTCTCTGCTGTGTGAGTCTGTGTATGTCAAACTTCTTTTGCGCTGTACATGGCCAACCGCGCAAATCGACAACAACAACGACAAAAAGCAGTTATAAAGAAATGAATTAGTCAATGTAGATGATGACGACGACAATGATTTCCAAGTGCATCATAGCTCCCAGTGGCTTTCTGATGTCGCAAGGGGAAGAGCGTTCCAGACGGCCGCAGAAGTAGCGCAGCCTGAAAGCGCCGAGCGGTGACCGCCAGCTTTGTTTGACGGCTCCCTCCCATCCCCCCCCCTCATCCTTTCCCTCCCTCTCATCCCCCCCCTCTTCTCATCCCCCCCTCTCATTCCTCCCTCTCATCCCCTCCACCCTCTCATCCCCCCCCCCTCTCATCCCCCCCCCTCTCATCCCCCCCCTCATCCCCCCCACCCTCTCAATCCCCCCCCTCTCATCCCCCCCCTCTCATCCCCCCTTCTCATCCCCCCCTCCCTCATCCCCCCCCTCTCATCCCTCTCTCTCATCCCCCCCCTCATCCCCCCCCCTCATCCCCCCCTCTCATCCCCCCCCCCTCTCATCCCCCCCTCTCATCCCTCCATCTCATCCCCCCCCCCCTCATCCCCCCCCCCCTCATCCCCCCCCCCCCTCATCCCCCCCCGCGCATCCCCCCCCCCTCATCCCCCCCCCCTCTCGTCCCACCCCTCTCATCCCTCCTCATCCCTATCTCCCATCCCTCTCATCCCCCCCTCTCATCCCCCCCCCCTCTCGTCCCCCCCTCTCATCCCTCCTCATCTCTATCTCCCATCCCCTCATCCCCCCTCTCATCCCCCCCTCTCATCCCTCCCTCTCATCCCCCTCCCCTCTCATCCCCCCCCCCTCATCCCCCTCCCCTCTCATCCCCCCCCCCTCATCCCCCCCCCCTCATCCCCCCCCCCTCATCCCCCCCCCCTCATCCCCCCCCCCTCATCCCCCCCCCCTCATCCCCCCCCCCCTCATCCCCCCCCCCTCATCCCCCCCCCTCATCCCCCCCCCCTCATCCCCCCCCGCTCATCCCTCCCTCTCATCCCCCCCCCTCTCGTCCCACCCCTCTCATCCCTCCTCATCCCTATCTCCCATCCCTCTCATCCCGCCCTCTCATCCCCCCCTCTCATCCCTCCCATCCTTCCTCTCTCATCCCCCTCCCTCATTCAGTAACTCTCTCCACCGCCACCACCATAACTCTCCCCCTCCCTTCCCCCTTCAATCGACCGTGGCCGCTAGTGCAGCCTGTGGAGCGCTGTTTGGCCAAAGTGACTCTTTAACTGTAAATTGTAGTTGTAGTGGTGGTGGTGGTGGTTGTAGTTGTTATCGGTGTGTGTGTGTGGTGTGTGTGTGTACGTATTGTTTGTTTCGCTGTAGACTTGAAGTGTTACTGCAGGGCGGTAGGCCGCTCCTCGCACGAGAAGGGAACGCGACGCTCGCCCAAACATTGAAGCCATAGGCGGTCTGTGCTTTTGTGGCACGCACGCACGTACACACACAGGCACGGACACACACACGGGCACACACATACACACACAGGCACACACAGGCACGCACGTGCACACACAGGCACACACAGGCACGCACGTACACACACAGGCACGGACACACACACACGGGCACACACAGGCACGCACGTACATACACACACAGGCACGCACAGGCACGGACACATACACACACAGACACACACGTACACACACAGGCACGCACATACACACACAGGCACGGACACACACACGCACATACACACACAGGCATGGACACACGCAGGCACGCATGCATGTACACACACGCACGCATGTACACACACAGGCACGGACACACACACAGGCACGGACACACACACAGGCATGCACATACACACAGGGACGGACACACACAGGCACGCACGCATGTACACGCACATACACGGACACACACACAGGCACGGGGACACACACAGGCACACGCGTATACACATGTACACGTACATACACGCACACGTACACACGCGTATACACACACACGTACACATGCGTATACAAAGACAAAGATCCCCCGTATAGCCTGAACAACACGGACTGTTGGGGCAAGTGCTGTCAGCGAGCAGCACCTATGAAGGCCGTCAAGGCACACGAGGGGGTGGGTGGGTGGCTAACACCACGCCCGGCCGCCTTTGTCTCCCCCAGTGGCACCAGGTACTCATTTGAGGCCGAGTCGACCTAGGGGAGGCCCAGGGCCGTCACTACCTGGCCGTGAGCGGGGAATCGAACTCTGGTCGCCGGGTTCGTAGCGCTAACCGCTATGCTACCGCTCCCCACAAACGCACACGTACACACACACACGCGTACATGCACACACGTACACACCTAAACCTACACACGGACACGTGTACACGCACACACCTAAACCTACACACCTAAACCTACACGCACACACGTACACACCTAAACCTACACGCACACACGGACACGCACACACACGTACACACGTGTATACGCACACACGTAAACACTCACGTACACACGGACACGTGTACACGCACACACCTAAACCTACACACGCACACACGTACACACCTAAACCTACACGCACACACGGACACGCACACACACGTACACACGTGTATACGCACACACGTAAACACTCACGTACACACGGACACGTGTACACGCACACACGCACACACCTAAACCTACACACGCACACACGTACACATCTAAACCTACACACGGACAGACGCAGCTGGTGTTGGAGATGCTGCATCCAGCGGTCGCGCGTTTAGTCTCGTGGCCTCGCTGTTGAGACGCGGGTGAGACACGGCTGATGCGTATGTACGAGACACCAGGGGGGGTGTGTGTGGGTAAGCTCACTAGTGAGACACCACTGGTGATGTCCACATAGTGAGCGTGCACACATTCACTAGTCAGACACAACAAGTTTGTAAGCTCACGAGTGAGATATACCACTGGTGGTGTCTGACTAGTGAGCGTGCACACACTCACGTGTGTACGAGACACCACGGGGTTGTGTGGTACACTCACTAGTTGGGACACAACAAGTGTGTAAGCTCACGAGTGAGATATACCACTGGTGGTGTCTGACTAGTGAGTGTGTACACACTCACTACACGCTCACTACACACTCACTAGTGAGACACTGACTAGTGAGTGTGTGAGCTCGCTAGTGAGACACTGACTAGTGAGTGTGTGAGCTCGCTAGTGAGACACTGACTAGTGAGTGTGTGAGCTCGTTAGCGAGACACTGACTAGTGAGTGTGTGAGCTCACTAGTGAGACTGACTAGTGAGCGTGAGTGTGTGAGCTCGTTAGCGAGACACCACGTGAGTGTGTGTGAGCTCGCTAGCGAGACACTGACTAGTGAGTGTGTGAGCTCGCTAGCGAGACACTGACTAGTGAGTGTGTGTGAGCTCACTAGCGAGACACTGACTAGTGAGTGTGTGTGAGCTCACTAGCGAGACACTGACTAGTGAGTGTGTGAGCTCGCTAGTGAGACACTGACTAGTGAGTGTGTGAGCTCGCTAGTGAGACACTGACTAGTGAGTGTGTGTGAGCTCGCTAGCGAGACACTGACTAGTGAGTGTGTGAGCTCGCTAGCGAGACACTGACTAGTGAGTGTGAGCTCACTAGCGAGACACTGACTAGTGAGTGTGTGTGAGCTCGCTAGCGAGACACTGACTAGTGAGTGTGTGTGAGCTCGCTAGTGAGACACTGACTAGTGAGTGTGTGAGCTCGCTAGCGAGACACTGACTAGTGAGTGTGTGAGCTCGCTAGTGAGACACTGACTAGTGAGTGTGTGAGCTCGCTAGCGAGACACTGACTAGTGAGTGTGTGAGCTCGCTAGTGAGACACTGACTAGTGAGTGTGTCAGCTCGCTAGCGAGACACTGACTAGTGAGTGTGTGAGCTCGCTAGTGAGACACTGACTAGTGAGTGTGTGTGAGCTCACTAGCGAGACACTGACTAGTGAGTGTGTGAGCTCGCTAGCGAGACACTGACTAGTGAGTGTGTGAGCTCGCTAGCGAGACACTGACTAGTGAGTGTGTGAGCTCGCTAGCGAGACACTGACTAGTGAGTGTGTGTGAGCTCGCTAGCGAGACACTGACTAGTGAGTGTGTGAGCTCGCTAGCGAGACACTGACTAGTGAGTGTGTGTGAGCTCGCTAGCGAGACACTGACTAGTGAGTGTGTGAGCTCGCTAGTGAGACACTGACTAGTGAGTGTGTGAGCTCGCTAGCGAGACACTGACTAGTGAGTGTGTGTGAGCTCACTAGCGAGACACTGACTAGTGAGT